TTCTGACCATACACAAAACTCCAATGGAAATATATAGCTCAGTTATTTTTTATTTATTTATTTCTGATCCTTATCCGAGGATATGTTTTTATTGGTTTTAAAGAGAGAGGAAGGGAGAGTAAGACAGAGAAATATCCATGTTAAAGGAACATGTATCGGTGGCCTCCTGTGTGCACCCCAGCTGGGGAATAGAATCTGCAACTTTGTGGTGTGTGGATGATGCTCCAACCACAGAGTCACCAGCCGGGGCAGAGGTCAGTTACTCGGAAGCCATGTGACGTTAGAGACAGGCCTTGGACAATCTCTAAGTTCCTAAAGGGAATAGCTATGCTGTTTGAATAATTCTGGAAAATAATTTTAAATTGTCATGAACAAAGCTTCTGTTAATCTCCCCTTTCCCAGCATTACCTGCCATATAATAGGCTTGAAAGAAAAGTAAAAATCAGGATTATAAAATCTCTTGGACCATAGTGACATCAGCAAGATGGCAGACTAGGAAGCTCTGGGGCCTCTGTCCTCCATAGAAATATTAGAAAAACGGCTAGAGACTGACTAAAATAACTGCAGGAGCTTCGAAAGCAGCCAACCATCTAAGCAACCAAGCGAATAAGAGGACACCTCATTTGATATGGTAGAAAAATATGTGATACTTTTAATCTCCCTTGCTCCACCCCTTTCCACTCAAGGGAGAAAGGACAGTTGAACCATTACCTCACACCATATACAAAAAATTTACTGAAAATGGGCCAAAGACCTAAAGGCTTAAAACTATAAGACTCTTAGAAGAAAATATAGGAGAAAAGCTTCATGACACTGGATTTGGCAATGATTTCTTGAATACAATACCAAATGCACAGGCAACAACAACAAAAACATTAGATAAATTAAACTTAATCAAAATTAAAAATTTTATACATCAAAGGACTGCCAATGGAATAAAAAGGTAACCCATGGAATCGGAGAAAACATTTGCAATATCCAGAAGATTCATAGAGCTCCTATATTCAACAATAAAAACCAAAATCTTTTTATTTAATAAAGGGCTAAAGAAGATATACCAGTGGCAAAGAAATACATAAAAAGATGCTTATCAATAATTAGGGAATGCAAATCAAAACCACAATTAAATACCACTTCACACTCATTAGGATGGCTGCTATACCTAGATAGAATGTATAAAAAAAATCCAGAATATTAAAAGCATTGGTAAGGATGTAGAGAAATTGGCATTGCTAGTGGAAATATAAAATGGCAAAGTCACTGTAGCAAATGGTAGGGCAGTTTCTCCAAAACTTAAACATAGAATTAACATGGGATGCAACACTTCCACTTCTGGATATATACTCATCACATTGACAGCAGGAACTCAAGCAGACTTTTTGTGCACACCTGCTAAGAGCAGCATGCTTTGTGAATCTGGCTGGAGAAAGGGGGCAGACTGGGAAGCTCCAGGCCCTCTGTTCCCCGTGGAAGCATCAGAAAAACACAATAACCAAGAGTTGGAAGCAATCCAAGTATCCATCGATGGATGATTAATGAATAAATAAATTGTGGTCTATACATAAAATGAAATATTATTCCACCTTAAAAAATTCTAATAGATGCCACAACATGACTACACCTCTGGACATTGTGTTGAGTGAAATACACCAGTCACAAGAAAACAAACTCTGTATGACTACATTTACATGAGGTCCCTAGAGTAATCAGCTTCACACAGATGGAGAGTACAATGCGGTTGCCAGGGGCTGCGGGAAGGGAGGCATGGGGAATTATTTAACAGGTATAGTTTTAGTCAGGGTAGAGGAAAAAGTTCTGGAGATGAATGGTTGTGATGGTGCACAGCAATGGGAATGTACTCAATGCCCGTAAATGGTACACTTGAAAATGTTTTAAATGGTAAATATTATCATGTATATTTTACTGCAATAAAAAAAAATCTTGGATCAAAATGTCTCCAGATAGACCCTTCTGTCACTGAGTGTGTGGGTTAACACCTCTTCCTCTCATTGTGGCCAACAGAGGATACCTTGCAAGTTGCTTTAAAATATTTTAATTTATATGATACCTAAGCATCTTTAACTTGCTAATGCTGCTGGAGGTCATAAATGTAATGTTCATGTCACATAAAACCCACACTAAGATGTATTTTGACAATCATATTGACAAAGCACCTAAATATTTTCTTTTCATCTAACCGGAAGTGTGATAGTTCACATATATTAATAAGCTTGATGTTTTGGTACATGCATAGCAAAGTTAGTATATGGCTATTTCATTGACAGAATTAATTGAGGAGCAAAGTACACCAAGCAGCAGTCCAACCTACGTTTTTCTCTCAATTTAAATGTTCCAGATTTACTTAAGGCGCATATTAGTCTCCTTACCTAAAATAATCATCCCCTTCAATCCACCTGCTCAAATTCTACCCATTTTTTTTTTTTTTATCCTCACCCGAGGACATTTTTGCATTTATCTTCAGATAGAGCAGGAGGGAGAGAGGGGGAAAGAGAAACATCAAGAGAGAGACACATTGATTGGCTGCCACCCACACAGCCCCAGGTGGGGCCGGGACAAACTGCAACCGAGGCAGGTGCCCTTAGCGGGAAACGAACATGGGAGTCTCCAGTCCGTGGGCCGAGGCTCTAACTGCTGAGCCAAACCGGCCAGGGCCCTCCTCACTCTAGGGTCTAGCTGAAGGCAAGTATTTTACTAAGCATTTCCTAACTCTCCCAGGCCACATTCATCACCCTAACCTCCAGTCTCTATCTTACCATTTAGTGCTTAGTAATAGACTGCCTTGTATTATTTGCTATCATTTTAAGTTTTAGAACCAACTAACTGTACTATAAATTTGACAATTACTCCAGCCTGAAAGGACGGCCCAAAACAGCAATACAAGGTAAATTCACTGCAACCAAATTGTGAACTTGTTGATTCTCTTTAAAGTCTAGCGCAACTCAATATGAACACGAGTTCAAAATGACCGTTGATTTGAATTATTCAATCAGCTAATTCTAAAAATCTGGCTTATGGAAGACTGGAAGGTAGGACTCCCTTCTTCTACCCCCAACACACACATGCAACACATATTCGGTAGCACACACATACTCAACCACACATACCGGAGCACAAATTTACACACCAGTAGCAACTCTCTGGGAACTGAAACAATAACTTTTTCTTTGAGCACCCACTATGTGTAAAACACTTCACTAAGCTTTCTGGGTAAGCAATTCACACATCTACAGTCATCTTTGACCCGAATTCAGTCTATTACATTGGTGGTTAGGGCATGCCTCTGGGCACTGGCCAGCTGGGTTAATCTGGGAATTTTCCTCTTGGGTCAAACATGAAACCCAGATGAGAAAAATATGAGCTGAGGTGGAGGGCAGTTGTCATCCTCCTGCAATAAAAAAACAAAAAACAAAAACCGCAAAAAAACATGTATTTCCAACAAACTGAAGAAGTTCATTCACTCTTTGTAGTTGAAACTGCATACTACTTTGAGTTCAAATTCTTTCTATTAATATATAAGATTTATTGAAATTGTATTGTTTGAGCAGGAGCAAGAAAGCTGAATATTATTTCAGGTTTTCAAGCCATAAGAAAAAATAGTGCCTTTAGGTTTTCCATTCAACTAGGAAAATTATAGTTTCATATTTGCAACACTGAAGCTAATGCAGCGTCAGCACCTCCATCACGCCCCGGCGTTCAGCAGTTTATAACTCAGGCAGAAATGTTCCTTCTAAGCCCAAACTCGGCCTATACAATCCCAAAGAAAAATGAGGGAAAATTATTCTGGGTAGTGCTGACTTATAAAAGCAAAAGAGAGGGTGCTTTTACAGAGTGTTTTGGAAAACATCTTTGGGAATTTGAGACTATAAAGGGGAATTACTGAGTTGACACCCTTCATTCCTAAAGTTACAGAAATAACAAAAAATTACATGATGTCATGTCAGCATCAGCAGTATCTTAACTACTTTCATGAAAGTCTTCATCAGATAGAATTACCTATCAGACAGAATTACTATTTATAGAGAGAAAAACAATTATAGTGGAAAATAAGGACAAATAGGTAGACATTTCTCATAAGAACCACCGTAAGTTTTTAGGTATATTTTTCCTTTAAGTACTAACTCTTCAGTACACTGTACACACAATGCAAAATAAAAAAAAATATATATAGTTTTCCAGTTGGAAAAAATATGTTGGAATGGCAGGCTGGAATCTCCGAAATCAACTTTTCTTCCTTTCGAATGTTATTTTGGACTTAGAAACAACTGAGTGTTGAAGTGGATTTCCAGCGGCAGGCGACAAGAGCTACCCAACTCACGGGAGGCTGTGGGTGTGGGTGGGGAGCTCGTCAGATCTGGGGTGCAGTCACGTGGCAGGTGGTTATAGATTGCCTGCTGCCTCCGTGGCATCCTATGAGTCTAGCAGCCAATTCTCATCACCCCGATCTCCTACAGTTACCTTCCAAACACCTCAAATCTTTGATATCCTGGCATGAGGGCATTAGGTAAGTCACTGCTTTCTCTGTGCAGAAGGCTCGCTTGCGCTGGGTGTGTCCTCTTGGGAACCCCAGTCTGTTTACACCCTGCACTTACTAAAACCTTGCTACAGGCCAGGCCACAGGTGCTTTGACTGGGTGTCTGTTCCCCAGATCTCAGGAGGAAGTGCAAAGTTCATAAAGACAACTCCAGGACAACTGCGGAGCGCCGGCTGACGACTAAACTGAAGGACCCCGAAGCATCAGCGCCACGCCCTTCGCTCCCCACCAAGCGCCCTTTGAAACCGCACGCACTCCCCTGCCGCCCCTTTGGTTTCCCGTCCAGCACTCCCGCGGTGGGACCCCGGTCACCGCGAGCTGAAGGAGCCGGCCTGGGGGACAGGTGCCGGGGGCAGCGGCGGCGTCTGGAAGTCCGGGAGCCTGGCGGGGCCCCAGAGGCTGACCGGGGGGGCACTGCGGGGGCAGCGCACTTGCGCGCCCGGCTCACCTGATTGAAGTGCGCAGCGATGAGCGATGGTTCCCACGCCTTCGAGTTGGTGCTGGCCGCCCCACCTTTCTCTTTCTTGGGTGCCATGGGAAGGACAGAGGAGCCCTGGCCTCTAAATTAGGATCTGGCCCGGACCAAGCGTCCCTGCTGCCCTGGTAACCAAACCACAGCCGGTTCTTTAACTGCCAGTTTCCTAACGACCGCGGCTCCCCTTCCCAAACCGGTTCAGAACCTCTGGTCAACCGCTTCCGTGGCCATAGCAACCGAGTTTCCCAGCCCGCAGCTCCGAGGTGGAAATCCGGCGCCTCTGGTCAAATCTCAGGGAGACCTGGCCCAGTGGGGGAGAGGGGGAGGGCTGAGCTGGCTGCTCTTTTGACCCACTTGGACCCCCTGCTTCTTCTTGGAGCTTTCTCTGGTCCGAGACATGGTCTAGAAACTCAACACTCCTGGAATCCTGTCTACTTCACCAAGATTTCTTCCATCTGGGTAACTTAGAAGGAGAACTGACCCCTCGGGGGCGACCCGTGCCGTTTTCTCCCCTGCCCACGATGCTTCCTTCTGTGAGGCCACCCCGACCTCCAGCCTCTGCGTCGGTCTTGGTTCTGCCTCCCAGGATCTTGCTACACAGGTCCACGCCTCGACGAGATCCTTTATATAATCGTGGAGGAGACCAGTGTCTTTCTAAATCTTCTTCTCTGCCTAATGAGACCCAGTTTTTAAAACTGTCCTGTACTGGTAAGCAGTCTTTCTTTTCTCTTTTCCCATCAGGCATGTCCAAATACTTAAAATACCCTGGTGAGACAGAGTCCCCCAAATAATGATAGTAACAATAATAATGTTAATAAGAACAGCTCATTTCTTGACCACTGGTTATATCCTGCACAAGGCAGTTATATTGTTTAATTCCAACAACTCCATTTCCAGCCCCACAGGGGATGATGGCACCAGGATTAGAACGCAGTTGTCTGAGTCCCAAATCCAGTGTGGTTAACTTCTCACGCTACCTACCCCTGTTCTTGCAAAATAACAGGTGCCCCATTTGGGGCGACTTATTTTATTTTTTATTGCAATGAGACAAATTGGAGAGTAAAATTTCTGATGCTTTATGATACCGGAAAGAAGTTTTCCTGAGCATCTCCACAGCAACCACCTGGACTGCCACTAATTCACTATCACAGAATTTCCTCCATAATTTTCTTCTTCTCTAAACTCTTCTTTATCAGATGAAAATTACCTTTGGATTATAGCTGGAACATAAAGATTAATCTCTTACAGACCAAAATAAGTAATTGCTGATTACATCATTCTAAATTTGGATATAATTATTCTCATAGGTTTAGACTCTTTGGGGAAGAGGTCCTGTATTTTTATTAGAAAAGCAGTAAAAAATTGTTGCCCTGGGGGAGGGATGAGATAAACCAAAGAACTTATATGCATGTATGCGTAACCAATGGACACAGACAACAATGCTTGGTGGCGGGCCGGATAGGGAGGAGGGTGTCTGCAGGGAAAAAGGAGAAACATCTGTAACAAAAATAAATTAATAAAAAAAAATTGTTGGCCTTCCAGTTGTTTTATAAAAAAAATTATTTAACTATATGTTTATGTATGTCATACTATGTTACTAATTTTCTTCTTGAATATGAATGCATATTTCAAAATATAGTCAGCTTTCCCAAATCGCTGGCAAATGATTAATAAATAGGTTGCAGCCCAACCGGTGTGGTTCAGTGGACTGAGCATTGTCCCACGCACAAAGAGGTCACTGGTTTGATTCCCGATCAGGGCACATGCCTGGGTTGCGGGTTCAGTCCCCAGCAGGCTTTCACGAGGCAGCCAACTGATGTTTCTCTCTAACATCAATGTTTCTATCTCTCTCTCCCTCTCCCTCTAAAAAACTCAACAAAACATATTTAAAAAAATAAAATAGGTTGCAGGTAAGAAAGAGAAGCAAAGAAGAAAAAACAATAAGGAGAGAAAAGTAAAATTAAGTGTTATTTTATTTTATTTATTTATTTATCCTCACCCGAGGACATTTTTCCATTTTTTGTTCAGGTAAGGAGGGAGGGAGAGAGAGGAACAGAGAGAGAGAGAGAAACATCGATGTGAAAGGAACACATCGAGTGGCTGCCACCCACACAACCGACCAGGGCCGGGGACAAACTGCAACCGAGGTACGCGCCCCTAGTGGGAACCGAACCTGGGTCTCTCTGGACCGCAGGCCGACGCTCTAACCGCTGATCCAAACCGGCCAGGGCTTAAGTGTTATTTTAAATTGTAGAGAAACTGCCACTAGTTCTGTCTTACAGGTGACAGCTGTCCAACCCCGAGTTTGGTAGCAATAAAATGTTTGTGACACTTATTGTGGCAAAAACTGACCAGTGGTTCAATAAACATTTGATTCTCTTTCTTTCTTCTATGAGAGGCAGACAGCATTTTTCAACCTTCCTCATTTTCAGATGTGAGCATGTGATTGAGTTCTAGTCGGGGGCACAAGCAGAATGCTTTATCACCACAACCAAGCCTATAGAAACATCTCCCAAGCATTGTTCATGCTCCTCCCCCATCGGCCCAGATATTGGGGTGACATTGAAAGCCTTGAACCGCTGTGTCACAGAGAACCCTTCCCCCTGAGCGTCACCCTGCTTTCTTCACCAAAGGCATTTGTTTGGGACTATTTATTGGATGAGAAATACACTTCTATTTTCTTAAGCTGCTGAAATGTTGGGATTTGCAATTACCCTAAATGATCTAACATTTTTTATAATTTTCATTTGAGAACCAGCTTACTCTCAGAAAACAATCCTGTCACATTCAAGTAGGCGGCACTCAGCGCTGACTCCTGCTGGGAGAAGCACACGGATCCGGCCCTCTGTCTGTCGGGAGATGGCATCCAGTGCTGCCCACCCGATCGCCCTTTACTTGGCCTTCCACCTGCTCATACAGCACATTCTTTAACTTGTTTTATCAAGTAAATAAATTGCTTACTTGAAGAAGTGGTTTGCATATTAAAGTATTACAATAAACTAGTCTGCTGTGTCACAAACACTTATGAAAAAGTTTGCCCATTTTTCAGATGAACCAACAAGATCCACTGCCTAGACATCTATGTACATAAATTATAATTTAGCAAATTATTTAAAGGAATAGAACATTTTAAAAGCCAAAAATAAAGATTTCAGGGAGGAAGAGTGTATTTCCAGTATAATCTTTTATACTTTCCTTTGTAAGTTTCTTCCAGAATAAATTGAAACATAGAAGGTTTTTGAAAATTGATTTAGATAACATTTTTTAAATCCTCACACGAGGATATGTTTTTTGTTCATTTTAGAGAGACAGGAAGGGAGAGAAAGAAACCTTGATGTGAAAGAGAAATATCGATCGGTCGCCTCATACACTCCCTGACTGGGGATCGACTGGGGATTGAACCCACAACCTCATTATGTACCCTAACCGGGAATTGAACCCACGACACTTTGGTGCATAGGACTATGCTCAGACTAACCGAGTCCCACCAGCCATGGCTGATTTAGATAATTTAAAATAAGGGTTTTATTACACAATGCTTTTTGCCTAGTTTTGGCTTTTTTTCATTATTCTAGGGAAAGTGGTACTCTTGATAATTTATGACACAAAAATGGGAAGACATTATACAGTAACCAAATTTATAGGGGGCTTCATCATAGAATTGGTCTGTTTAATTTCAGAAAATAGGTGTGAATGACAATATTCATAGTTTTAAGAAGCGAGAGCCATTCAGCTAAAAAAGGACCCTGCCAAGAACAGAAAAAAAAAAAAAAAAACCATTACCATCTGTCATACATTTATGCTTTTTCGGTATAATAAATTGTTTCCCTCACTAAATATAAGTTGAAACTTTATAAGCATATACTTTACTACATAAATTTTCCCATATGTCAGTGGCTAAAACAAAACTATACTACTTGGAGAATTTTCTTTCACATTGGCAGGCTTATTCCCGGTTTGTTCACTTTCACTTTTCCAGTGAGATTTTGCCTTTGACATTGTTTAGCTCACCAAGGATTGTCTACTTTTAGGGATGCTTCTTTAGGATATTATGATTACTGAATAAGTTTTTTTTACAAATTTGTACTTTAATCATTTACTTTTAATCCTCACTCGAACTTATATTTTCCCATTGATTTTTACAGAGTGGAAGGGAGAGAGGGAGGGGAAAGAGAAACAGATGTGAGAGAGACACACTGATTGGTGTCCTCCCGCGTGTGCCCCAACCAGGGCGGGGGACGAATCGGCAACCCAGGTACGCACCCTTGACCAGAAATCGAACCCACCACCCTTTGGTGCACAGGCTGACACTCTAACCACTGGGCCACACCAACCAGGGATATAATTTAATCTTACAGTGTTCATTGAACCCTTATTCAGGTGTATGTCTGAGGCATAATTTCTCATACCTGAAAAAGTCTAGCCAGTTGTTGATGTATCCAGATTTCTACTGCTATCAGGTAACATCAGGAGCTATGGACCAACTCACTTCTAGGCCAAGATTTCAGGTACTCAAAGTACTCTTAACTGTAGCAATCTGCTTGCCTTTGGCTAAGAAGGCCTCACAGGTGTTCACTGAGTTCTTAGACTGGCATCCTACATCTAAGAACACCTTTCACTATATGTTTGTGTTATTTACCATCACAATCTTTGTGTTTCTAACCTTCAAAATAGAATGTTATAATGCACTGTCCTTGAGTTTTTATTGTGTGTGATGCAGAAGGCTTGATGTCTTTCAGCTACAGGGTCCAAAACATATGGAGAATATTACACCTGCATTTTATGGTCAGCATTAGCTTCCTATTCAGTTGTGAGTGCAATTTAAAGTGTTGACTTTAATCTTTAAAGCCCCTCATTGTTTAGAAGTCAGTTACTCCAGATATCACATCTCTCCCTATGCATCATCGTGGCAATTAAAATCAGCTGCAGTGCTTGCAGTTCATAATCCCCAGTGAATTGTGGGGAGCCTGGGAGTATATCACTTTCTAAAGAAGAACTTCCCTAAGATCCCTCTGTTTCTGTCAATGATAAAAGCAATATTCGGAGTTTATAGTTTTGGC